TGAGACTGAGACTGAGACTGAGACTGAGACTGAGACTGAGACTGAGACTGAGACTGAGAGACTGAGACTGAGACTGAGATTGAGATTGAGATTGAGATTGAGACTGAGACTGAGACTGAGACTGAGACTGAGACTGAGACTGATCAAGAATATATATACTTTGTGGGGTCTGCCAAGCCTCCTTCTGTCTGTTACATACATTTCAACAAAACCATTATAACCTTATTTCCCATTGATTAAAAGTATGAATGTACCTAAGCCTTTTCCCTGTCTATCGCACAGCCTGCCCCTCCGTCTGTCTCTCTGTCTGTCTGCCTAACAAAAGCAGTGAACGAACAAGAACTTCAGAAGATCATTTAAGTTGCCTAGATGTATGCAGCAGTACTCATTTAGTATTTATATGTGTGTAGAGAGCGCTCCCATCGGTCACGTAAAACTCACTTGAGCGCGACTGAGGCTTGGAGTGACCATCGCCCTATATAAAGGGCAGCAGCTCAGGTCTGGTGGGTGTCAGTCCTGCAGTGCAGTGCAGTAAAGTGCAGTGCAGTGAAGTGAAGTGAAGTGAAATGTGTGATCTCCGGCCAGGTATTAAAGACTTCAATCAAATACTTAGAGAAAATACTTAAACGAAATAGTTAAAGGAAATGCTTAAAAGAAATAAGTGGGGAAAATATTTAAGGGAAATACTATTTATTTATTTACATAATATTACTTACTTACTTAAGTACTTAGAGGAAATACTTAAGGGAAATACTTAGAGAAAATACTTAGAGAAAATACGTAGGGAAATATTTAAAGGAAATACATAGGCGAACAAATTAGAAGAAATAGACAGATAGAAAGTTTTGAGTTTTTCATTGTTCACTGTTCCCTACCAGTTCTCTAACCATACATATGTATGTATATGTACATATACACCTTAAAGTGTTACGTAAAGACACTACAAGCTAACTCTGTGTATATTAGAGCACGTTTACTTTCTATAGAAGCATGCGGTGCCACCTCCTAGCTGTTGGCTGCCGCTCCTGCTGCTCCTGCTGCGTCTCCTGCTACTCTAGATGAGGTTGATTGCATGCGCCTTCCATTTCGCTGCTGCCAAAGATGGTTGCATATTAAATTTTGGCTAAGTGCTGGGCGAATCGGCTCCTGCCTCATTCATCTCCCCCTAGCCATCCCCCTCCCAATCGCACCGCCTTCTCCCATAACCCCAAGCAAACAAATCAAATCAGATTCGGAACGTGTGCCGTCGGCTTTTGCTCGACCTCGACTGCGTTTATTTAAATTCAATTTCATATTAGAGCCACTCACTTGGGGGACTTTACTGCCATAGAATGGCTTACAAAGTGGATTGAAGGCGCCTATAAAAACAGCCAACAGCCGATTTGTAAGACTCGCCCTGGCCATCCCGCACCCCCCTCCACAATCCATTAGGTTCCCGATAATCAAGTTCTACATCTATGTATGTACATATATCGGACGTGGCCTTTTTCGGAAGAGAATTTCATTGAAGAAATTTTAGAGTGGCATTACATACATATAAACATGTATATACGTTGGAAGTCTCGGAAAATGTTGGTCGGTGATGGAGATAGGAAGCGAACATTTTTCGCCAAGAACTGCTGGAAGTGACCGACTAGAAGTTACTTAAAGTTGAAATGCTATGGGCTTGTAATTTGAATTCTACTGCTGATATAGGCCTCCATACCTCTTGTGCTTCTCTCTTCCTGGTTACTCAGATCGAATGTTAGTTATTCTCTTACTCTCGTCTACTCTTATTATACTAATACTTCTATTTACTCCTCTTTTGTCTTATATTCTTTACCCCTCTGCTCTTACACTCACTTATATTACCAAATCGTTCTGTATATATATATTCCTCGTATACTTCTTCTACACTCTTGTACTCGTCTTATATTAACTTATCTCTGATGTCGCAGTATTATGTAATTTTAATCTAATAATGGGAGTATATGCCTCAAGTCCTTGCATACTCCTTAAACTCTTATATACTTATAGTCTCTTCTTCATAGTCGTTTCATTTATATACATTTTCATATTACCCTCTCTACTCTTATAATTACACTTAAACTGATCTCATATTATCACCTTAAATTGACTCTTATACTACTTTAACCCACATAATCCCCTGCACTATTTTAAGCTCTTATACCGTCATCATTTTAGCATTATTGGCATTACATTCTATCCGCTCTATAGCTCTAATCTTATGCTTATATCTTTATAATAACTCGTAGACTTGTATTCTTCTACACTTATACTTCGCTTTTCTCACTATGATTCGGCAAATTATTTGTATTAAATGTAAATTAATATGCCCTACTTAGCCATTCCGAATGGGTATAACAATTAATTTCATTAAATTTATGTAAATATGCATAAAATTTTGTTGGCTCAGTCTGTCTGTCCGTCTGCCGGAGAGCAGGCCATCTCCATCTCAATCTGAATGTCTTTTAGAACTCAATTGAATTTGTTTCCTCGCATAATCCATAGTTGTACATCCTCTGAGCACAATGATTTCGAGCTGATTGTTTGCGATTATAAATGAGTTAACAAGCATGAAAAGGACGTGCTGTCATGCCCGAATGCCTAATTAATTAAAAAACTCATAATGAGCTGCAGAAGTGCTGACAAAGCAACAGGACTGGAGGGCACTCGACCTGAAGTTACACGACAACAAACAGTTCGACTAGAGAAAGAGAGAGAGAGATAGACAGAGGTGCACAGAGGTACACAGGTATACAGTTACACGGGTGCATATTAGCTACGTACGTCGAGGAGATGTGTGCTCATATATGTATCTACGAGATATGACAGTCATTTTCACTTGCAAGTTAGCAGATGAAACGGCAAAGACAAGCCAAGGGCCGAGAGCCACTATCGCCATAAGGCAGCAGGCTGGCAGCCCGTGGAACATTTCGCAAATTGCAAAGCTTTTTAATTACATGCCAGACCCTGAAATATAACAAGCATTTGCTTTGCTCGGCTCCTGCGGTTTGCTGTTGCGGTTTAGGTCGTTGACTGATTGCAAATGGGTTTCATGCGCGTTCACTGAGGGAAAAGGGGTATATTGGATAAACGATGGGAATAGAAAATCTGTATAGGAAGTACTTCTATTTAGAGTTGTATGTGCAATGGAGAGACTTGAATAATTACAAAAAAAAAAATACAGAGTTTCTCTTATAGTTTATAAGTTAACATAACTAACTCCTAGCAATATAAGTCTTTTAATAAATAGAATTATACAATTTCTTTTATTCTGGAAATATCTTACATAAATAGTCATTGACTATTCCATTCATTTACTTTCATTTCTTACTCAGCTGTGAACGTGTATCATGCAGTCAGCTATGCCCGAGTGCAGCATCTCCACTAATTTACGTATTCTATTTGTGTGCGATAAAGCCAGAATAATTTTGTCATAATTAGCTTTTGCTTTGTTTCAATGTGGCATTCGGTTTTGCTCTTTAAAAATATAATATGCATATATAATATAAGGATGTATCTATTGTCGAATCTGATGTAGCTGAATGTGGATCTTGAATACAAAAATATTACTGTCTAAAATATGATATATTAAAATTTAGATAGATACAGAGGTATCATATGAAAATCAAAGTTAAAGTCTAACAGCTGAAAAGTAAGAAAAACTCATAGTATTAATGGTAGATTATCTGTTAATGATCCATAGATAGATAGAAAGTGGAACTCTGGAATTACTTTTACTGAAAAATATAAACGAAGCAGAAGACTTTATAGTAGATTTTAACTGTAGTAATTCAATACTATTGTAAAACAATATCAATTCTAACAGTAAGTCTCTTAACTTTCAGTACTACATGCACATACATACATATATACAATAGTGATTCGTATAGAAAAATTACATATTTATTTTGCCTAAATTAGTTGCTTAACGTAAAAGACACAGGCCAACAAGTTTTCATGCAATAAATAACTTTACCAAACATCTATTGGCCGTAGAATCTCTTAAAAACAAGACAGACGTAGGTAAATCTAATTACAGAAGTCTAAATTGATTCCTAAATGATAAATCCTGTTGGCCTGCATTGAACTGAGAACACGTTTGGTTGTTGAGCGTGTGCATTCAAATCGAACTGGAATTTCCGTGATTATTCCGGAAATCCGAATATCTTGACGTTGCCAACATCGCGCCGACGATCGCCAATGGTTTCCTTCTCGTCGCAGGCATAGGCGAGCAGATACTGCTTGGGATGCCACGCAACAGTGAAAGTGGAGGCATCCACGTGGATGTCCGTGACTCGCTCGCCCGTCTCCGTGTACGCAATGTCGATGAGCAGATCCTCGCTGGCCGAGGCTATCAGCCGCTCGTCGTGGCTGAAGGATATGGTGCGTACTGGCCACTCCAGTCGGCTGATCATGCGCAGGCAGGCCAGCTCGTTGGCATCCCACAGGGAGACCTGCGCGTCCGCTGAGCCCGTGGCAAAGTATTTGCCTGAAATCAAATTTACTTAGTATTTACTTTTAACACTTATGTAAGCATAGGCCGCGCTTACCCGTGGGCCCAAACTCAATGCATATGCAGTTGGCGGGATGCGCCTTCAGCGTTATGTAGTGCTCCAGACTGGGGTAGCTGAGCACGTGCATGCAGCCCATGCCGTTGGTCAGGAAGAACAAGTCGTTCGTGTTGTTCCACGAGATCTCATTCACCTCAAAGCTGAAGGGCTCCTCCACGCGGATCTTGTTGGTGCGCGTGTCAATGAACGTGATCAGATCCTCCTTGTTGCCCACGGCAATCGTTTTGCCGTCGGGCGACCAGGCGATGTTTATGTTCTCGCCCTTTGTGTTGGTGACCGAGACACATTTGCCCACTCGAATGTCCCAGATTCGCACGGTCTTGTCGCCGCTCGCCGTGCTGAACTGGTCCGGATTGGTTTTGTGCCAGCACAGCTGATCCACGGAGGCTGTGTGGCCGCGGAACACGTTGTTCTTCGTAAAGCGATCCCGCTCCAGGGTGTACACAGCCACAGTCTTATCAAAGGATCCCGATGCCAAGTGGCAGCCATTTGCATTCCAGCAAACCGAGTGCACCTAAGGCGGACACGAAGAAGAAGCAGATTGCAAAACAAGTCAAGGCATGCTGAGTGCCTGCATTGGCAGGCAGACTCACCTTTGACATATGCGGCCGCTGCTCGCGTATTTTGCTGTGTGATCGAAAATAGGATTTCAGATCCTCGAATGTCTGCTCGTTGCGACTCATAATAAGTATTTGATCTATTCCGGCAAACCAAACGAAAACCAAACAAATTGTGTCAGTGCGGCCGCCGCTTGCTGTCAGCTGTGGCACGCCGGCTGGGCAGTGTTGTAAAACTTCGCAAATTGCTCAATTTCGCTTTTGAATCAATTTCTGTTATCAGCCAGCAATAAATTTTGTTTTTAAATAGTGCAAGGTTATAGAAAACCCATAAGTAGCACAGCATCCACTCGAATCAGCACATTTCAAGTTAGTTCCGCAAAAAGTCAAAATGCGCACTTTACTCATATATTTCGTCATCTGTCTCTCTTTGCTGTCTTGCAGCAGTGGCAGAACTTTGTTGGATCAGCTCTTCCAGAGCGAGCCGAGGAGAGGCTACTATTATCCCACCGCCGCCCCAGCCTATAGACAGCCCCAGAGACCCAGAGCCAGAGCCCAGGAGAGATCCTACAAAGAGATTTGCCGCGTAGTCAACACGAATGGCTTCACAAATCCCGGCAACGTTCCCAGATGTCCGTACTGAACTCATCCAATCTCTGCATTTATTTAAGGAGAAAAACTTACAGTTGTGATTTGAAATAAATATATGTATATATACGTGCGTTTACAGTTAATAACTCTTAAATTAGCAAAGCATTTTGCACCCACATCTCGAATGATATCATATACCGACTATATTTAAAAACTAATTGCAAAACTCCGGCTGCTAGGCAGACACGCTTCGATAATCTAGAACAGGCGCTTCTGCACAATGTAGAAGACGCAGGCCAGGAACAGGCAGAAGGCAAAGAAGAGCAGCATCTTGTCGGTGCACTCGCGCCTCCCGTACTTCTTCAGCAGCTTGCCCGACTGCGTGATGCTGCCGGCTGTGTTGTGCAGCTCGTCGCTGGTCGCCGCCACGTTCTGGGAGGAGGCGACCAGGGTCTCCAGCGTGACGGCGCTCTTCTGGGTGGTCTCCGACAGGTGGCGCGATATGGCCAGCATTTTCTCTGTGACGTCGTTCTCCTGCGTGACGAGGCTGCTGCGATTGTGCCGCGCGCCGCCTGTGGAGCGCTGCCTGAGGTCGCTCTCGCCTGTGATGGCCATCAGCTCCTCTCGATTGGCCTTCTCTATCTCCAGCATGGTGGAGACGTTGGCCTTGCGGAATGCCTGTAAAGTCTTTGAGAACTGCTCCCGATGTGTGTCCACCTCGGTGGCCAGTGCGGGATCGCCCATGTCCCTGGCCCAATCATCGAGCCGTTCGATATTCTTTCGTATCGCTGACAGCTTGGCGCGTCCCGCCTCGTTGAGCTCCTCCAGCTCGGCGATTGAGGATCTGCTGTTGAGTATGTCCTGAGTGCGAAATATTTGCATGGTTTGTGTTTATGTTTACGTTTATGTTTGTGTGAATAAAATTCATCGCTTGCCTGGATGATGGCCTTTGCCTGCAGATTGTTATCAATCAAGTCCTGCCGTATGGACTGAAGCGTGAATCTGTCCTTGTCCATTACTGCAATTCCTTTTTTATTTCCCAATTTTTTTGTTGTTTTTCTGCTACACACTCAAAGTATTGTTTTGATGTGACGTGTGGCATATCGATAGCTGGCATATCGCAACAGGCCCGTTTTTCAACACTCGAAGCGATTTCACGGAAGTCGATAGACTGTCAACAGCTGCTTTTCGATAAATGTTTTTTCTTTGATGTGGCCGCCCAAATTTCTAACTCAGTTTTGAAATTTGTACGAGCCGAGTAACATGTCCAATTTTTCAGATTTTTCACTTTCTGACTCGTTGAGTCCAGCGGTAAGTGTAGTGCTGAAAATTAAGAAATTCATTTTATTGCTGTGCCATTTGCAGATATCTGCAGCCGTCGTAAGCTCTCCCATTTTCGGACTAATGGAAAACTCTAGCCCCGAAAATACTGTCGAGTCAAACTCTAGCCCCGAAAATACCATTGAGTCGAACATGACGTCGGACAATTCCAACGCCAGTTCCAATCGTTCAACTCAGGAGGAGCCCTCGACTGACGCATTAGACTTAACCGGTGATGGCCTGCCGGAGGCAACGCGCTTCTCATTACAGCGTGATTTTCTTGAAGCTGAACTAGCGAGCAGTAAGTTGCCGACTTGGTTGAATAGTTTAATTTTTCAAACATTTACAATTTTGTTAGTTCAACTCTACTGCGAGGAAGTGGATAATAATTTGGCTCAGATAGGCCTGGGCCCGGTGGGCACCAGTTCAACACCTAGGGTTCGATTTACTCGCCGTAATAATCGCGCAACCGGCAGCAGTAAGTGCTACTACGTTAGCTAGGATGCCTAGCCTTCACTGAATATAAATTCGTTGAATTCATCATTTACAGATGAGCCCGGAGAGGTGATTGATCTGTCCCTTCTGGACTTGCTTCCACCTCGTCGCAGCCAAACAGCTCGCACTCCCGAGGCTGTTATCGATCTGTGCACTCCGGAGCCGTCGCGTCGTCTTCCGGCTTTCATCAATTTGACGGACTCGAGCAATGAGTCCACAGCTCAGAGCCGGCGCCGTTTACATGTCAACAACTCTCCGGCAGCAGCTGCAGAGCCTGATGGTGGGGGTGCCTCGAAGTCAAAGCGTGGACGCTTAGATGATTCGGAGCCTACCCCTGAACCCTACAAGTGTCCCGTCTGCCTGGAATGCGTTCGCTTGCGCGAGCCCTGCTCGACCAAGTGCGGTCACATCTTCTGCAAGTCTTGCATCGAAACGGTCATTTCTACCACCCACAAATGCCCACTCTGCAACAAGCGCGCGACCAAGCGTTCGCTATTTCGTATTTTTCTATAGGTTGCGTTCTTTTTTTTTTTGTTTTTAAATAAATTATATTAGATGTTAACGGTAAATAGAATGCTCCATCTCATCACAAAATAATCACATTTACACAGAACTAATATCATTCATTAAACTCAACCCAACGTTCAGCAATATCATTCATTAAAATCAACCCATCGCCAGCATTAAACAAACTAACACAAACCACCAAAGTTTTATTTGAAATAGCTGAAATATTGTTTTTAATTCATGGTTCCACTTTAAAGGAACAATCAAATTGATTAACAGTTTGATTTTAAGTAGAATCGTTGTAAAAATTTAGCATTTTATATATATAAGGTAATTAAGTTATCAATGGAATAGAATGATATTGCACAAATGGTAATACTCAGTGCAAGTAATATTCCATCTACTCTTTAGATATTTATAACTAAGATAGAAAAGCTGCACCTGCTTTTCATCTTATACGGATTTCGCTTCCATAAATAATTACTTTTAGTGGAATGGAATGAAATAAGAGAACAGAGATCATTTTTTTAATTTTATTTCCAGTAAAATTGTTTTAAAAAATGTAAAATTGGCTTTTCTTTAAATATATTGGAGGTACTATTACTTATCAATAATTGAGATAGAATGGAATGGTTCAATTTTATAATCGTATTGCATTATGGATTGGAACATGTTAGAGTTTCCTATGAAGTATTTAGATCTCTAGATCGCAAGCTTTGAGTACTACAGCTCATCTCTGCCGCCTCTGATGCGTTTCATTGTATTATCTGGTTTCACATCATATTTCATCAGCTTTCCATAGCGTTTCAGGAGTTTGCGCCAATAGCACTGGACATCCTGCATCCTCAGGTGCTGAACAATAAATTCATGTCCTCTCTGGGCGATTTGCTGAGCCAGTTCATCGTGGCTCTTGAAGAAGTTGAGTATGTCTTCGTACTCCTCCTGACTGGGATAGCTGTGCAGTGGAACGTAGTGGACCCAAGGCTTCAGCTGGTGATAGAAAAACTCCTGCCACTCGTCGCCGACGTGGAACACGAGGGACTTACAGAGAAACAGATGCTTCAGGCGAAAACTGGCCGCAACGCCGCGAAAGTTAAATAAATATTTATATTTGCAGTGATCCTCAAAGGAGACTTCATTCGCTGGCGGCGCATCGAGGGTGTCCTTGGGTGACTTCCATGCCTGATTCTTGGTGTATTGCGCCTCCACCAGTTGAGGCATTCGCCTAGATAGCAAAATCAACGAATCGCGCTCATCCGAAGTGCGTGAGCCACGAAAGAAACCAATTTCCTTCTTCTCTCGCCATGGAATCGCTTTGGCTGCCTTTTCCAGCTTCTCGCGCATCAAGTCCCAGCGTCCAATGCCCGTCGGATGCAGCTTGGTGGCCGGACCACCCGCCCAGAAGGTCCAGGCGGGGTACATGATATCCAGATACTCTGTAGTTTTCGAGAACGAAAAAACGGGTCCCTTGTGCTGCCAGGAGGAATGCAGCTGTGGATAGTCTCGAGTGTTGATCACCAAGTCCATGTTCTTTAACTCCGGCAGCAGCTGCAGCAGAAAGTGCTCGATGCCCTGACAGCGCGCCGGAAACATACAGTTATCCTCCCTAAACAACTGATTCCCATAGATTTTGTACCGCGTGCCATATTTGCCGGCGTCTTCGATCATCTTCCGGGTGAAACCTGTTGATTTGTACGGGGCCAGATCTCGCTTGATGCCTGCCGCGTAGCAGGTGCAATTGACGTCAGTTGCGTCCGTAGTGCATGGTTTGTAATTGGCTAACGCCTTCTCTATGTTTCGAGTGAATTTATCAAATTCTAAAAATAATGAGTAACATATTAATAGCACATAAAGTCGATGCAAACAGAACTGAGTTTACTTACTTGCATTCTGCTTCCCTTCTATTCCTTCATTTTTATTGCAGGCTGATTGCCCTGTTGCATCACATTGTGTGTCACATGTTGCCTGGCTTAAGGTTAGTATGAAAATTATTAATAAAACATTGTTCATTCTTCGAATAAACAATTGGCCTGCCGCTTTGCGAAAAGTTATCGATACGTGTGCGTCAACGTGAGCACAACCGTTCTGATTGCTGCAACTGCGACGCCGTCAGACAGACCGTTTCTTTGAGTTGCATGAGCTAGCGGATTGAAATCAGCCACACTCCCAGCAGCAATATCGCTCTGGTCACATTCGGCGTGTAACAGTTGGCAGTTGGAGTTTATTTATCGCAGTCATGTCGGGGTGTACACACTGGCCGCGATGAAGTGAAGAGAAACCAACACTACGTCGAAAGTTTGCGTATTAAATATATAAATTTTACACGACAAATTGCGGACGATACAAATTAATTAAACGACTTTTCTTTTTGCGATCGCCTTGTTCTACGTGTGGCATATAGTCGAATCGAAAGCACGTCAAACGAATCAGGCGCGAGTGTACATTCATTCCATTGTCCATAATTTACATATGAATTTTGCAACAACAAAACATGAAACGAATCGAAGATTAAAGAGCAAGCACAGTTGACATAACTGCAAACACACACACGCAGAAGTAACTATTCAAAAGTAAATTATCGAACAGCGGAAGACACACGTAAAGAGAAAAGAAAATATATGAAAAGCAACAAAATCAACACAAAAATCGTAATTTTTGGCAACGAAACGAAGCTTAAACGAAACGTTCCCACATTGGAAAACTGCAAGAGCGAATTGGAATTCGCAACAACAAAGTGGGAGAGGCGAAGGCGTTGGCGTTGCCTTTGCCTTTGCCGTTAGCGTCAGCGCACTCAGCAGCAGCAGCAGCAGCAGCAGCAGTAGCAGCCGCAACAACAACAACAGCCCGCCAGATGTTTGTCGAGATAGTTGCTTAATACAATTCAATGCAAAAGAGGTAATTTCATCCAATCAACCTGTAGGTGCAACTTTGTATGTGTGTGTTTGTGTGAATTGCTCATACATATGTGTGTATGAATGTTTATTTGTGTGTGTGTTGCTAATTAGTATAATGCTGTTGTCTTTGGAGTTTTACTTTATATATATTGTATTTAGCTATAAACAAAAACAAAAACAATTTCGTATTGGCGTCTGCATCAGCCATGTGTGTGTGTGTGTGTGTGATAGAGAGCGAGAGGGAACGAGAGGGGCTGCCACTGCTGTGATTTAATTTAATTCGCTGCCGCGTTTTGGTTGGCTTTGAGCTCAGCTTCCGTTCCGCTTTGCATCGTTTGTTCGCTTCTGGCAGCCGCTGTTTGATTTCTTTTGTGCTTTGGTGTGGCATTTGTTTTTATCACGTCTCTGTTTATCTTGTGTTTTCCATTTAACAGTATCTTGTCGACATTTTTTCCGAATCTCTTAAAGAAATTCGTTTTCGAATTGTATTTTTCGCTCTCACGGCTTTTTACTATTTTTCGATATTGAAGATACAGTAAAAGCTGGCTTTAATGGCCAGTTGTCTTATCTTATTACCAGAAGGCTTATAGAGTTTATTCAACTGTTATGCATGCAATATAAACATAAATAATATATTATAGATGTTTTTTTTAATGCTACCCCAAACTCCATGCTCCAAAGAGATATTTTTGATGGGCCTGCGCATTGAAAGTTTCTTGAAATTTCAGTTGGTTGGTTGGGGGTATTCCTTACATGTATTACTCATTGATCAAACTACATTGTTTGTTTACATGCTTAAATTGCCCATTTATAGCGCTAATTATGTAGACATACATGTACTCCGAGACGATCTGCTATGATATTTGGCTTCCCGGTACGCTAACAGCAAACGTAGCTTATCAGGTAGCCCGACTCTGTGTCACACATAATGTTCCAATTTCATTGTTTTATTGCATGCACTCCCACCCAACGGGTGACTAAGAACTCGCTCTCTCTCGCTCCCTCTCTCTCTTTCTTTCCTTCTCTCTTCCGTTGCTCTGCACTTATGCTGTTATGTTGGTCAAGTTATGCCAGCGTGAGTGCGAGTGCGAGCGCGAACGCCTCGATGAGTTACAAAGCAGCGGCCCACAGCGACGGTTGCGCGTCGCCCGTTTATTGGGATTGTTCGTTCGGACGGTCGTTGCGTTTATTCGATTATTTTATTAGTTAAAAATAAAAACAAGTTTATTGTTTAAACAAAGTGGTTGGTGCTCTTAACAAAGTATAAATAACATTTGATTATTTGTTTGCGGCACGTATTGATTAATCATTGTGTGTGTGTATATACAGGGCATAAGGCGCGTTTCGTTGTATTCACCACACCCGCAGTACCCCTCGCTCTATCCCACCATAACGCAACGTTTGCACTCTCTCTGTGTCTTTCGCTGTCTTTTGCTCTCTGGGAGCGTGTTGAGAATTTCGTTTCCAGTGCGTAGTGCATTTCCACATTAATGCCAATCTATGGCAAGTGCCAAAGGAAAAGTTCGTGTGTGGCACACTGATTAATTTGCAAGTGTTTAGTATGTATATTCTTTAAACACACACACACATATCTATATATGCATGTACATATAAATGTAAACGTATACGTATGCATATTATCGCACAGTTCTATAAAAACTACGTGCTGGAGCTTTATCGATTCGAAAGTCATGTGTATATAATTAAAACAATGGCCAAGTGTGCTGCAAAGTGTTACTCGTAACGGAGCTCATTCGATTACGTTATATGCATATTTTACCGTAAGTCTGCATGCAGCTGAAAACATACATAATTAATAAGAATTTCATTCTCTAAATAAGTGTTTTCGAATCCAACCCCGTGGCAGTGGCAAAAGGTTGAATTTGTTTTGAAAAATCGATTTTTCTCTTTATCAAATATGTATGTGCGCTCTCTGGGGCTCTCTCGCTGAGGCGCGCTCTCTCTCTCTCGCGCGCTCTCTCTTTCGCACCTTAACATGAACCAGCTGTTCGCTCGGCTGGGGTTCAGCTATGTCGCAATTGCTCTGCTGCCACCTAACCGGATCGAAACGGTGTTAATTTCTGTTCAATGAATTAATTATGCGTAGCCTCAATATTTACATTTTGTTTTTCTGTTTTTCCTAGAT